TATAAATATTTGTATAACTATAAGTAATTGAAAATAAATTAACAATATTAAAGTTAAATTATCAAATCAACTGACCGCGAGAATTACTCAACAGTACATAGAAATAGATTTGTAGATGAGGAGGAGGTGAGACCCTATTTGACATTGTTGTTAGGGAATCCAAAAACACTTATTTTGAGAAAAAAATTACGTGTTTGGCAAACATGTAAAATTGATTTTAAATAGAAGTAGAAATAATTTTTCAACCATTGGAATAAGCTAAAAATTTCTACTTCTTAAAAAGAGCAGAAGCAGAAACAATTTTTTTTTAAATCAATATATACCAATATATCTCTTATTTATTAATTAACATATCTTATATGTTTGGTTTATAAGTTCCATTCAATAATTTTATTAAAAATTTTATTTTACGTTTATGTATTATTATTTTATGTATTATTTTGCAGGATTAGAAAAAAAGAAGAAGGTAACAATAATATCTTTGTAATATTAGAAAAAAAAATAACAATTAAGGATTTCAACCCTTCAAAAACTTTTATAATATTGATTGAAATTTGAATATAAACATTTTTAATTTAATAAGAAAATTAATTTTCTGTGATAGGTGTTTAAGCTAAATTCTCTTTATAAAATAATCTTAATATTAAAAGTATTTAATGCTTATCCTTTATTATAGTTGTACACTCAAAAGTATTTTTTTTAAAAAAAATTAGTCAAATACAATTTTCTTATGAAAAATACTTTTTAAATAAATTAGTAAAACACAAATTGTTATTTTTTTCAAAAGCACATTTTTTACAACTATTTTAAAGAAAAACTTCTAAAAATATTGAGTAAATTTTATCAGTAATGTCAAATAGCTCTGAGTTGACCTGATGGGTTATAAAGAAAAGATATAGTGTATCTTTTAGTTGGCGCCAAGGAATCCAAATAAAGCCCAAGATTGTCAAATCTTTACTACGCGCCAAGGAATCCAAATAAAAAATCCCTCGAGTACTCCCCATCCCCACCTCCCCCTTTTTTTCTCTCTCTCTCTGAATAGTACTCCCTCGAGTTAAAAAAAAAGAATGATTTTTTCATTTTTTGGCAATATTATAATTTTAATTTCTTACGTGACATGTTTAAGATAAAAAAATTAATTTTTTTTTTAATACATTTAATATAAATTTAATTTAAAATCACAAAATTGAATTTTTTATTTTTATTTTCTTTCACTCCGCATCAAACTAAAATAGATCATTATTTTTAAAAAAGAGAATATAATGTTTAACCCTTTATAAAATCTTCTTGTGCTTTTTCTTAGGTCACGGTTTCCTCGGGTTCCTTTCTAATTCTGCCCCCCCACCCTATTAATCTTTTGTTAGGCATATTAAAAGTGAATTTCTTTATAAATATATAAAGAAATTTTCCCAAAAGTTCCTTTAGTATCCATCCATACATAACCCCCTTTTCTTCTTACTTTCTCATCTTCAACATTTTATTTTGCAGCTATTATACGTACTTAATTACTACTTTCTTCAAGAGGGAATATATTCTAGTTTCCAATAACAAAACAAGCACAAATAATTTTTATTCTTCTTTTTAGCTTTTTTTATCGCCTATTTATACTAGTTCAAACGATTTGATTAGGTCATTGAAGAAGTGTAATTATAATAATAATAATAAACAACATATTATGGATCACAATGGAATAATTGAGTCAGGTAAAAGATGGATTATTGCATTGAGGAGGCCAATGAAGCCTATATTGACCAAGTCGAAAGATGATGATGAAGTTGAAGAGTACTGCTCCAATACAGCACCAACTTCAGAGGAATCAACAAGGTTCAACACATTGACATGTCCACCTCCAGCACCAAAGAAGAGAAAATCTTCTTCAAGATGTCATTGCTTTAGCGAGTTTTTTAATCCTCCGTCTGACTTGGAATCTGTATTCATAAGTTGAGTTGAGACTTGAACAAATTTACGTATTAATTATTACTTCACTTCAACAATGCTGTTATATACTTTAATTTGGTTCAACAATGTCAAGCCTACTTAGTGTAATGTGTACATAATTGGGATCACTATCTATAAGTAATATAACAATTACCTCTATATGTCTTCATCAGCTTCATGTGTACGCCAACTTTTCTCAGATGGTATATTAATTTCCCTTTTGTATGTTTTTAACATGGCAGTTTACTTAAGTGCTGCACTAATATATATATATATATATATATATATATATATATATATATATATATATATATATATATATATATATATATAATAAAAATACTGTAATCATTTAAAATTTATTAAATATAAATTTATAAAATGATTGGAATTATATTAAATTCATTAATATATTAGTCCAAATAAAGATTATGGATTAATATAATTGAGTTAATTGTTTAAATTCAATAAATATGAATTTCATTAAGGCCCGCTCCATAAAGCCCATATGCCATGTCACTTAAATCTAATTGGCCGAAAGGAGTCCTCTTCTAATCACAAATCCTCTATTTTAAATCTATAAATAGGGGTCTTCATAAATTAGACAAGAGGACCAAGAATTTTAACAAGAAGCTAGAGAAAGCTCGTGGATCAAAAGCTGCAGATTTCTCTACAAGTTCAAGAGTTCAAGAATTCAAGCATTCAAGATTCAAGAGCATTCAAGATTCAAGAACGATCAAGATCAAGAACGATCAAGATCAAGACCGTCGGATTCAAGATCAAGCTCGAAGCCCTTGGATTCAACTAGAAGTCAAGATCAAGATAAAGTTCAAGTCCAAGATCAAGATCAAGATAGAGATCAAGATCGAGATAAATCTCAAGTTCAAGATCAAGCTCAAGAGCCCTTGAATTATATTTGAAAAGGCGAATTCAGAGGAATAATAGAGATTGTAACACTCGCACTTTGAAATAATAAATACGATTGTTGCTATAATTTTCCGTTCTTGATTATTGTTTTCTCGACGCGAATTTTATTGTCTACAAATTCTGGCACGCCCAATGGGACAATCTCTACCTCTCATCTCAATTTTTCAAGCATCAAAGAATATTAAGATGACTTCTATGAAGAACAACTCCCGATCAACTGCCTCTAAGGCTACTAGCTCCAAGTTCTCTAATGAAGTTGAAGGCATTTTGGGTGTTACCTTTGGAAGTTTCAGAGCTGTTACGAGAAGCAAGACTACTACACTAGGACAACAAACACTTCAAGTGTCATCCACATCAACTCCAGTTTTTGGGTCTACTACTCCAAAAAAATCAAGTTCCTCCGCAAACGCTTTAGAAGGAGGAAGCAGTGTTGCTGAAAAGATCAAGAAGACATTGGCTCTCCTTGAGCAATCTGGTTCCAAGAACTCTACCACAAGGGAGAGCTATGATTCAACGAATGAGTCACCTCCACGTGTATTGCGTAATGTGAGTCCGCTGAAGATCAACTTATGCGACAATCCAGGCTACTCTCCTATATCTCCAATGATCATGCAAACAATGGTGGCTGCTGCTTCTTCCTTTGAGGAACAACTCGCAAATCTGACGAAGTTGGTTGAAGGATTGACAAAGCATGTACAACACCAAGAGTCTAGAATCGATAAGTTGATGGATCGAATGGAAGGACTTTTAGACAGAGAAGGGAGTCATGCGCCCGAAAAATGTGTTGAAGTTCAAGAGATTAGAGATCCTGCAAAGAAAGCACCGATTGTTAATGAGATGCTAGTTTCTTCTGAAGGGATGATCCCACTAGATCGCTTGAAGGAGTTCATTGAAGGCACTATCAAAGATAAGTATGAAGTATCCACCAAGTCTTCTCATATGTATGCCAAGCCATATACTGCAAGAATTGATAACTTAAAAATGCCTGCTGGTTATCAACCTCCCAAATTTCAACAATTTGAGGGTAGAGGAAATCCGAAGCAACATGTTGCACACTTTGTGGAGACATGTAATAATGCTGGAACATATGGAGACTATCTAGTCAAGCAGTTTGTCCGGTCTCTAAAAGGAAATGCCTTTGATTGGTACACAGATCTTGAGCCCAATTCTATTGATAGTTGGGAGCAACTAGAGCACGAGTTTCTTAATCGATTCTATAGCACGAGGCGTACTGTGAACATGGTAGAACTTACGAATACTCGCCAAAGGAAGGATGAACCAGCCATAGACTTCATAAATCGATGGAGGAACGCGAGCCTAAATTGCAAGGATAGGCTTAGTGAAGCTTCTGCAATTGAAATGTGTATTTAAGGAATACACTGGGAGCTTCTTTACATCTTACAAGGAATAAAACCAAAATCCTTCGAAGATCTAGCTACTCGCGCTCATGATATGGAGTTAAGCATGTCCTCTGCTGGAAAAGATATAACGTATATCCGAGACCCTCACAAAGGAAGCGACAAGCAGGAACCCAAGAGATGGAGTAAATTTGTGCCTAGAAATGACAATAAAGAATCCATGAATATTAATGTGTCGCTTGCGAAGATCACTACGAATGAGGGCATGAAGCAAAATGTGAGAATGGCTTTCCAAGCATGTTTAAATCAAAAGTCGACACTAAGGGAGATGCAAGAAAAAAAATATCTCTTCTTGGATTCTGACGTTTCTGAGATTTTGATGAGTTGCTTGAGTTAAAACTCATTGACTTGCCAGAGATGAAGCGACCTGATGAGGCGGGAAAAACTGATGACCCAAATTATTGCAAGTATCATAGACTTGTGAGTCATCCTCTTGAAAAATGTTTTGTCTTCAAGGATAGAGTGATGCGATTGGTTAACGAAAAGAAAATTGTCCTTGATGATGAGAAGGTTAGTTCTAACCAAATCTCTATCACATTTGGCTCGCTCGATCCAATCCAAATATATATCTCTGAAAAACATGAACAAGAGTTATTGGAGCAAGATAAATCTCAAGATGATATAGATAGTGATGAAGGCTGGATTCTTGTGACTAGGTGAAGACGCAACAAGTCAAGCTTACGAAAAGAATCAGCCGAGCAACCAATTAGAGGGAAAATGGTGAAGAAATTGGAGAAGCAAAAATCAATCCAACCCCCAAAGAGGGCAAAGGTAGAAGTGCATCACTACCAAAAACCCCGACGTCCTGTGACTCTAGAGGAATTCTTACCAAGTTCGTTCGACATAAAGTCTACTCAAGACAATGTCGAGGCATCATGTTTCAATGCTGATAAAGCAGAAACAACGAAGGTGCCTTCTACTGACAAAGAGGGAACAACGAGTGAATCCTCACCAAAAGTGTCTCCTAGTGATGATGAAAAGACAACAAGGGAAATCTCGTCAATGATGAATCCCTCGCCTTCTGAAAAACCTATTGAACCTTCTTCCCATGAAGTACATGCATGTGATACAAAAATCACATTTACAGATTGTCACGACCCAAGCCTAGGGCCTAGACGTGACATGGCGAATGAGGAACCCGAAGGAACCCCAAACAAGCCTCTCAAACTTGTCATCACACTTCATTGGTCGCGGAAGTACATTCAACATTAATTAACGAGAAATAGGGACTAAGGGCAAACCATTTCAAAATGACATCATAGAACAAGAGTCAAGCTCATTTACAAAATACTTGTCCAACGCACACCTCTACATACATAGATAGGACGGGGCCATGACATACTACCGGCTCCCCTCATAGTCAAAATACAATTGCAAGCTAAAGTCTCAAAACATAGGAGTAGGAAACATAACAAGCCCTCGAATCATTGAGGACTCACCAACAACTCGGATAAGCACCGTACTAGCCACGTGAATGGAGAGAAGAGTCAAGAGTAGCTCCGGTCCCTACATGGTGACATCATGTAGTCAAAATATGCGTTAGTACTTGGAATGTACTAAGTATGCGGGGTGCAACACAACAATAGACAAGGACACAATCGAAATACAAGAAATAGTTTCATAGGCATTATGAATAACAATATGAGGATGCATGATCAAAGTGAAGTCAAAACATGTTTAAGTAAATCTATACTAATAGTAGATATCATATGTGTATGCATGATCCAACCAATCTATAACCCCAACTTAGGATGGGGGATGTCGTTCACACCCGGACACCCTGGTGGCAAGGTATAAACCCCTCACATGGTTGATGTTGGTCACACCCCAAGCATCCTAGGTGGTGAGATATAAACCTCTCACATGGTTGTCCGGTTCTTTTCCCCCGGACCGGGCATGGTCATGCAACATTTTATATAGGAAATTCCCATTAGGCTCTAATGCAATCTCACGTATGGAATGAACATATTCACAAGCTTAGTTTGTCATCAACACATCTCTGGATTTCCATACATCTCATAGCTCAAGCTTTAAAGCATCGATTCATCAATTCTCCATAGTTGGACATTTTGTCAAACACCTTGAAGGCATGTAATAGAATCAAAGAGCATGGAAAATAGGGTAGTAATTATGCAACCAAACCAGTGAACAACCTACAACAACACCTTTTTAACACCCACAATACCACATGAAAATCTCCACATCCATTCCAAATTTAGGTTCAAGTTCTAGAGTCACAACATGCTCAAAACAATCACTTTTCATGTTTAAAATTCAATGTGCAGGAAATTATTACAAAGAACAAGACTAATTTATGAATTTTAACTTAAACCATGAATTAGTGAGTAGAATAGAGTCTAGGCACTATGGGTGGAAGGACCCATGAGTTCAACACCACATACCTTGAATTTTTATGAAGGTCTTGAGAGTGTCTTCAATGGAAGCTTGGAACTTGGAGCAAGAGTCTCTTCAATCTTGAGGAAGGTTTTGGGTTAGGGTTCTTGAGAGAACTTGAGAGAAAATGTGTCTATGTATGGGAGAGGTGTTTTGGGAAATGTTTTAGAGATGGGAATTGAACTAATGGTATATAGGAAATAACATATGCCCTTTGGAAAAATGGTCCAACACTTAGAAAAAAAATGAGGCGGGTGAACAGTAAAAACGCTCATTGGAAATTGCCTTTCCTGCCGGACAGATTTTACGAAAATGGGCATAACTTCTTCGTCCGAACTCCTAATGAGGTGAAACGAAGTGCGTTAGGTAGCTAACTCAAAGGGATTTCCATGGATATGTTATTGGCCACCCAATAATTTGTGTGCTAGGAGATACGACCCTCCAAAGTAGACCCTCGAAAAAGGCTTCACTTGGAAATTTCGGATTTTGATACGGTTGCTCTAAAATTTGGGTTAGACCCATTTACCACTCAATTTGACCCCCTAAACAAGAATATGAAGTCGGATTTTCGAAAAACAAAACGGATTTTTTTATATATAGCTAAACAAGTTTCCGGTAACTTCCGAAGCACATTTTTAAGAACTTTTTGGGTCATTTCACAGATAATGATCTTCTGTTTGGTGAAACACTACACAATCGTCCTTTGTATATGGTGGGTCACGTGCTAGAGAAGAAGATAAATAAAATCTTAATAGATGAAGGATCTGGAGTCAACATTTTGCCTATCCACACATTGAAGGAACTTGGCATCACGACTGGAGAACTTAGTGAAAGTCGTCTGTTGATACAAGGTTTTAATCAAGGGGGGCAGAGGTCCATAGGCTCTATTAAATTAGAGATCCACATGGAAGATTTGCGATCAAGCGCATGGATGCATGTGATTGACTCAAAGACGTCGTACAATATATTACTTGGCAGGCCTTGGGTACATGAGAATAGAATTGTATCATCTTCTTACTATCAATGTTTGAAATATCTTGAAGGCGGAATTGAAAGGAAGATAGTTGCAGATGATGACCCTTTCACCGAAGTTGAGACACACTTTGCCGATGCGAAATTCTATTTGAAAAGTTATGTTGTTAAAGGGTCCAAGTCTAATGATGTAAAACCAATCATGTCCGATAAGGTCATAAGCAAAATAATCGATGTAGCTGTTGAAAAGGTAAAAATTGATACTAAAGAACCTTGTCCCAATCTTAATGAAGGGAATATCATGTCTTCGAAGAAAAAGCTGACTTCTGGACTTTGCTATGTTCCAAAAGTGAAGAAAGAAGAAGGTCAATCATCTAACCTTCAAGAAAATGTATTGAGAGGGCTAACTCTTCCTATCAGACGGATTGATGCAATAAACTTGTCTTCAAAGCTGCCAGAAAAGTCAATCTCTCAAAATCAAGTGCGAGATGTGGCGCTCCCTACAAGACGCACAAGAGAAGGTTTTGATCCCAATGCTTACAAGTTATTTGTGAAAGCTGGATACAACCCTAATGAGCCATCAATGCTAGGGAAACTTGTATCAGAAGATACACCTAGGCAAGCACGTGAAGGCCTAGGCTATAGCCAACCAGCACCAATTCGCATTTCCATAAGAAGGGCAAGCAATAACCATATAACTTTCGAAGATGATGTCACTACTCCCAACAAAAAGCCTTCCGTCTTTGATCGACTTGGAGAATCGCCTGCAAGAACCTCTGTGTTTGAGAGGTTAGGTCCATTGAAGAAAAACAAGAATATGAGAAGTTATTTAAAAGTTACAACGCCTGCTTCACATTTGATTCTTTCAAAAGTTTGATTCCTTCTAGAATGAGGCGGCGGGTGGAACTTGTGGTTTCGTGTAAAGAAGAACTCAAGGCAAAGGCTCACACTGTGGTTTACACCAACGAGCGCGAGGAAGATGAAGAAAGTGTAGGCTCCTCAAATCATGTTACAATCCAAAATGAGTACGATTCTTTGCCTCAAATGAAGATTGATGAAGAGTTAGAAGATGTTGTCTGGTGTTGTCATATATCTGTCAATGACAATGATCCGTTAGAAGAGGAAGATGCTAGAGATGCTCCACCGAAACTTGAAGAAGGAGTAAAGACCACAATAGATCCTTTGAAAGAAGTTAACCTTGGCAATGATGAAGACCCAAGGCCGACTTACTTGAGTGCCTTTCTAGAAGTTGATGAAGAAGCCGCTTATATGAATATACTCAAAGAATATAGGGATGTCTTCGCTTGGAGTTATAAAGAAATGCCTGGATTGAATCCTAAAGTAGCGGTCCATCAGATGGCAGTCAAAAATAGTTCTCGTCCTGTTAAGCAAGCTCAAAGACGCTTTAGGCCAGACTTGGTTCCATTGATAGAAAATGAAGTTAACAAACTCATTGAGGCAGGCTTTATTCGTGAGGTCAAATATCCTACATGGATTTCAAGTATTGTTCCTGTGAGGAAGAAGAATGGTCAAATTCGAGTATGTGTTGACTTTAGAGATCTTAATAATGCATGCCCTAAATATGAGTTTCCTCTTCCCATTCCGGAGCTGATGATTGATGCCACCACTGGTTATGAGGCGATGTCGTTCATGGACGGTTCTTCTGGCTATAATCAAATCCGCATGGCTCCAAAGGATGGAGAACTCACCGCATTTCGCACACCTAAGGGTATTTATTGCTACAAAGTGATGCCATTTGGTTTAAAGAATGCTGGTGCCACATATCAAAGGGCTATGCAAAATATATTTGATGACTTACTCCATAAAAATGTTGAATGTTATGTTGATGACTTGATGGTGAAGTTGAAAAAGAGGGGTGATCATTTGAAAGACTTAAGAATGGTGTTTGAGTTGCTCCGAAGATATCAACTAAGGATGAATCCATTGAAATGTGCCTTCGGAGTTACTTCTGGCAAGTTCCTTGGCTTTATTGTGAGACATCGAGGAATTGAAATTGATCAAGACAAAGTTGATGCAATATCGAAGATGCCTGAGCCTCGAAATATTCATGAGTTAAAAAGTCTCCAAGGAAAGTTTGCCTACTTGAGGAGATTCATTTCAAATCTAGCGGGAAGATGCCAACCATTCGGTCATCTCATGAAGAAAAGTGCTCCTTTTAATTGGGATCAAACATGTAGCGATGCCTTTAAAAGTATTAAATCGTATCTAGTGAAACCTCCGATTTTGGCAGCCCCTATACCTGGAAAGCCATTGATACTCTACATTGCGGCACAAGAAAGGTCTGTAGGAGCCCTACTAGCTCAAGAGAATAGTGAAGGCAAAGAAAACGCTCTTTATTACTTAAGTAGAACGATGACACCGAATGAGCTGATCTATTCGCCAATTGAAATGTTGTGCTTGGCACTTGTCTTCTCAATTCAAAAGATGAAGCATTATTTTCAAGCACATGTTGTCCGCCTCATTTCTAGAGCAAATCCCATCAAGTTTGTTATGTCAAAACCTGTCCTTAGTGACCGACTAGCAAGATGGTACCTCCAATTCCAACAGTTTGAGATTGTGTACATCCTTCAGAAAGCTATGAAGGGACAAGCATTAGCGGATTTCTTGGCAGACCATCCGATACCCGATGATTGGGAGTTAACTGATGATCTTCCTGATGAAGATGCGATGTCTATTGAAATTCAACCTCCTTGGAAAATGTACTTTGATGGGGCTGCACATCGTGGCGGAGTTGGCGCTGGCGTAGTGTTCATCACTTCACAAGAAGAGATTCTACCATTCTCCTTTACTTTGAAGCAATGTTGCTCTAATAATGTCGCTGAATACCAAGCATTGATACTTGGACTTGAGATGGCCGTCGACATGAAGCAATTACACTTACAGGTCTTTGGTGACTCTCAGTTGGTGATCAACCAACTCTTGGGAAGTTATGAGGTGAAGAAACCCGAATTGCGTCCTTATCATGGCTATGCCCAAAAGTTGATAGGGTGCTTGGAGATGTAACCCTTCAACATGTGCGTAGAACGGAAAATAAGAAAGCTGATGCATTGGCTGCCTTGGCTTCAACTCTAACCCTTCCTGATCAAACACAAGTTACTATTATTCAAAGATGGATAGTACCACCGCCAAATGAGGAAAACTATATAGAAAATGAGCTTGAGCATCTCGTTGCTGTTTCTGAAGCCGTAAAGGAAGATTGGAGACAACCCATTATTGACTACATGTGTTATGGGATACTTCCAGAAAATCCAAGGAGAAGGACTGATATTCGTCGTCGTACACCTCACTTCCTTTACTACAAGGACACATTATATAGAAGATCATTTGAGGGTGTACTATGACGATGTTTGGGAGAGGAAGAGGCAATTCAAGCTCTGCAAGAAGCACACTCAGGAGTATGTGGATCTCATCAATCTGGACCGAAACTCCACTTTCACATAAAGATGATGAGGTATTATTGGCTAACCATGGTGAAGGATTGCTTAGATTATGCTCGGAGGTGCGATGCTTGTCAATTTCATGCGAATTTTATACATCAGCCGCTCGAAGTATTGCACCCAACTATTGCATCTTGGCCATTTGACGCTTGGGGATTGGATGTTGTGGGACCACTACCAAAATCTTCTGGTGGACACTTGTACATCTTGGCTGCAACAGATTACTTCTCAAAATGGGCTGAAGTTGTCGCTCTTAAAGAAGTGAAGAAAGAGAATGTTGCAAATTGTATCCGAGTGAATATCATATATCGCTTTGGCATCCCTCGCTACATTATAATAGACAATGGCAAGCCATTTGATAATAAGTTAATGAACAAAATTTGTGATCTCTTTAAGTTCAAGCAGCGTAAATCTTCTATGTATCATGCTGCCACCAATGGTCTTGCTGAAGCATTTAATAAAACTCTATGCAACCTCCTCAAGAAAGTTGTCTCCAAGTCCAAACGAGATTGGCATGAAAGAATGGAAGAAGCTTTGTGGGCATATAGAATGACATACCGCACACCAACTCAAGCAATACCATATTCACTTGCTTTCGGAGTTGAAGCAGTCCTGCCACTCGAGCGTCAAATACCTTCCTTAAGACTTGCTATTCAAGAAGGGCTCACTGAAGCAGAAAATGCTCGACTATATCTTGCTGAGTTAGAAGCACTTGACGAAAAGAGGCTAAAAGCCCAACAAAACGTTGAATGTTATCAAGCTCGTCTATCTCGTGCTTTCAATAAGAAAGTTCGCTTGAGGTGTTTCCAAGTTGGAGATCAAGTTCTCGCTGTAAGAAGACCCATCATTACTTCGCACAAGTTTGGGGGCAAATTTACCTCAAAGTGGGATGGACCATATGTCGTACAAGAAGCTTATTCACATGGTGCTTACAAGCTTGTTGATGCAGATGGCGTAAGGATCGGTCCTATTAATGCAAAATTCCTAAAGAGGTACTACCCTTGAAGTAAAGATGATGCTCCTTAAGGTACGAGCCTAAACTGCATGTTACTCCTGGCCCGCAAGAGTATAAACTGTGTACGACACAAAAAAATTTCACTTAATCCCCCAAAACTACGTTGTGACTTGATCCTCTTCAATGAGGTACGTAGGCGCTTAGAATATATCCTAAGTTCAGTTGCATGAGTGTCAAAAAACCACATGTTCCCACTTGATCTGTCACATGACAATCAAAGCGGTAAGTATTTTGTTTTATCTTTTGTCCCATCAAACCTTAGACTTGTACGAAGTATTCATTGGTCAATAGATGGGGGCAAACCTTTAAAAAAAAATGAGTTTGGTTAACAACATGCTTGAAGTTTCTTTAAAATTGAAGTCTTTAAGTCTTCTAAGTATGCAAGTTGAAGTCTTCAAATCCTCCAAGTATACAGGCTGAAGGCCTTCAAGTCTTCCAAGTATGCAAGTTGAAGTCTTCAAATCCTCCAAGTATACAGGCTGAAGGTCTTCAAGTCTTCTAAGTATGCAAGTTGAAGTCTTCAAATCCTCCAAGTATACACGCTGAAGGTCTTTAAGTCTTCCAAGTATGCAAGTTGAAGTCTTCAAATCCTCCAAGTATACAGGCTGAAGGTCTTCAAGTCTTCCATGTATGCTAGTAGAAGTCTTCAAATCCTCTAAGTATACAGGCTGAAGGTCTTCAAGTCTTCCAAGTATGCAAGTTGATGTCTTCAAATTCTTCAAGTCTGCAAGTTGATGTCTTCAAAGTCTTCTAAGTATGCAAGTTGAAGTCTTCAAATCCTCCAAGTATACAGGCTGAAGGTCTTCAAGTCTTCCAAGTATGCAAGTTGAAGTCTTCAAATTCTTCAAAGTCTGCAAGTTGATGTCTTCAAATTCTTCAAGTCTGCAAGTTGATGTCTTCAAATTCTTCAAGTCTGCAAGTTGAGGTCTTCAAATTCTTTAAGTCTGCAAGTTGAGGTCTTCAAATTCTTTAAGTCTGCAAGTTGAAGTCTTCAAATTATTTGAAGTTTCAAAGATGAAGTTTTCAAGTCTTGACCTCTAAATTACCTTCATTAAGGTGAGGATGCGTATCCATCCTCTTTTCACATTAAGGATACCATAAAGTTACCTTTCCTTAGGGCGGGGATGCGTATCCATCCTCTTTTCGCCTTTAAAGAATACATTTAGCTTACCTTTCTTAGGGCGGGGATGCGTATCCATCCTCTTTTCGCCTTAAAGAATACCTTTAGATTACCTTTCTTAGGGCGGGGATGAGTATCCATCCTCTTTTCGCCTTAAAGAATACCTTTAGATTACCTTTCTTAGGGCGGGGATGAGTATCCATCCTCTTTTCACCTTAAAGAATACCTTTAGATTACCTTTCTTAGGGCGGGGATGCGTATCCATCCTCTTTTCGCCTTAAAGAATACATTTAGATTACCTTTCTTAGGGCGGGGATGAGTATCCATCCTCTTTTCACCTTAAAGAATACCTTTAGATTACCTTTCTTAGGGCGGGGATGAGTATCCATCCTCTTTTCGCCTTAAGAATACCTTTAGATTACCTTTCTTAGGGCAGGGATGTGTATCTATCCTCTTTCGCCTTAAGAATATCAGCTGCATGACAGAATTTAAAGTTAACTTCAAAAAATCACCTAGAAAGATTATGAAGGTATTAAACCTTGAATTTCGGATATATTGTAGACCTTTGTGTCTAGATTCTAAATAATCAAGCGGCTTGTGATTTCGTCGTTCCTACATCAAGACACAAGAATTTTAGTAAAGCCACACAAATCTGGAATTTTCAGCATGACAGAATTTAAAGCTAACTTAAAAAAAAATCATCTAGAAATATTCTGAAGGTATTAAATTCCGAATTTTGGATATGTTAGAGATTGAGAAGTCTAGTTTCTGAAAAATCAAACTGTTCTTGATTTCGATTTTTTTACAATGAGATATGAATTTTCTACGACAAACGTGTCAAGCTGTAGAAAGGGTGACGAAAATCAGAAAAAGGGAGGAAAACTACCTTGAATTATGCCCTTTTCGTCACAGGCTCGTAGCTCACAATCTGCAATTGAAGACAAAATTATGGATACTATGTGTCTATTTATAAATGTCATGTGGTGGGAATAAAATCTCTCTCCTAGTCCAATTACAATTCCTTTTTTTGCTAGGACAATGAAAAAGGATATGAATTTGAAATTAAGTGGGACTACAATTCCTAGTTCAACTACATTTTGAATTTAAATGGCATCATAAAATCCCTCCCCTAGACTAATAGCAATTCCTTTTTGGCTATGCTAAAGTAATTGACGGAAATACTGTCCTAGTCAAATTGGTTTTCCTATTGCTTTTTAACAAGCATATATTTGCCTCCTATCATGATTCAAATTGGTCAAATATATGTTTGAAAGTGGTAGACTCACGTGCCCACTCCAATTACATGTACTGGAGTCAGACAACAAATTAAACATTGCAGGGGCATCTCAAATAAATTATTATTTAATTAATACTTAAAGTCTAGTCTTTGAAAGATAAAATATCTCGACAAGACTTGAAGCAGGGGACATTTGTAATCATTTAAAATTTATTAAATATAAATTTATAAAATGATTGGAATTATATTAAATTCATTAATATATTAGTCCAAATAAATATTATGGATTAATATAATTGAGTTAATTATTTAAATTCAATAAATATGAATTTAATTAAGACCCGCTCCATAAAGCCCATATGCCATGTCACTTAAATCTAATTGGCCGAAATGAGTCCTCTTCTAATCACAAATCCTCTATTTTAAAACTATAAATAGGGGTCTTCATAAATTAGACAAGAGGACCAAGAATTTTAACAAGAAGCTAGAGAAAGCTCGTGGATCAAAAGCTGCAGATTTCTCTACAAGTTCAAGAGTTCAAGAATTCAAGCATTCAAGATTCAAGAACGTTCAAGTCTCAAGAACGATCAAGATCAAGAACGATAAAGATCAAGAACGATCAAGATCAAGATCAAGCTCAAGAGCCCTTGAATTATATTTGAAAAGGCGAATTCAGAGGAATAATAGAGATTGTAACACTCGCACTTTGAAATAATAAATACGATTGTTGCTATAATTTTCCGTTCTTGATTATTGTTTTCTCGACGCGAATTTTATTGTCTACAGATACTTGTAAAAATTCTTTAGAATAATGTGACAGTAGAAAAATTATTGTACTGACCAAGTAGAAAATATTACTTTTTCTTTTATCAAAACAAGTGTTTTTAATCTCGTAACATCAATGCCAAATCGGCTCTTAAAGTCAAGTAGTAGAGCGGTTGACAAACAGAAGTAAGAAAGTGGAAGTTTTGTTTGATAGAATAAAGATAAGAGTATGGCAATTTTTTAATGATAAGACTCAAGTCATATGTGTGCATCACTTTCAGTACTTTTGCCTTTAATTTATATATTCTTTGCCTTCTTTAGTTACTTTAGTCTTTGTTTATGTCCCACACGCAACAATGACTCACCACCCACCTAGCCTGGACACGGACTCCCTTCTGCTTTAGGATCCTAGCTGAAATTCTTTATAAAATAATACTCCAATTCTTATTTGCAAGACTACTTTATCCAACCATGAATTCATCTTATACCAATACAAACTTTCTCCCTTTCGTTAGTTGGACCTTTTAATACTTACGCATCTTATATAACAAAAATATTAGAGCATGAATGTCTCATTGCCTTAAACTAATTTCTTTTACGTAGTTTTTTTGTTTGACCATGTGATATGAATTTATAAGATGGAATAGAAATTTTATTTGGATTAGAAAAATTTAAACTTTTTATATTGTACGTTTTCTCATAAATACAAAAATAACATAAGTTGTAAGGCTATTAAAATTACCTCAATTCTTTATACAATCTTACCT